ATGACGATGGTTTTATTCTATACGAGGCCCGCGCCATCTGCCAGTATATTGCAACAAAATACGCCACGCAGGGAACCCCAAACCTGATTCCTGCTGCGGATGATATCAAAGCTATGGCATTGTTCCAACAGGCAGTGTCTGTAGAGATACATAATTTTAGCAGGCTTTCGGACGTCATTGCACACGAGAGGGTCACTAAGCCGTACGTCGAATCTCTCTTAAGCCCTCGAACGACTCGGGCTGCCTATCCTAACGCCGCTTCAGATTGTATAACATGGAATACGACCAAAAAATCATCGACCAAACATTCAAGCAACTCGATGAGAAGATGATGGTCTATGATAAGATTCTTTCGAAGCAAAGATACCTCGCTGGGGATGTACGTTCTCGAATCTCCTTTTACCTGTTCCTTTAATCACTATTCTATTTCGACATCAGACACTCACACTTGCTGACTTATTCCATGTACCCTCTGGAGAGCTTAATATCCGTTGCGGATGGCAATCCCACCAAAAGTATCCCAACGTGGCTCGGTATGTTCAAGTTCCTACCTGAATTCTTGGGCGACTAGAACTATGCTGACATCTATCTAATGTATAGCTGGTGGAACGAAATATCATCGAGGCCAGCTTGGCAAGAAGTTCACAAACAGTCCAAGGACATTTATAACAGTGTCTTCTGATGCCCTCCCAATTGGCGCTCAGGCTCTTATTTATTTACCATGCAGTCAACACAGAGTGAGAAATCGGAGCTGAGTATGGTCGCGGTGATCATACTTCCTCAATTGTACAGCGTGCAGTGAAATATACGAGTCCCCGTGCATCTCAGGATGAAAACCTGGGAAACTGAGGTCTTGACCAATGCGGTCCCTGAGTGGGGCAGCCTGAAAGATATCGTATAAAAGAGTGATAAGCTTCCGTGTGAAAGGCATCTCCATCTCTCCCCCAAACGACCAAACGAACATGGTGTTGAAACTCTACGGCTCTCCTACAGCATGTGTAACGATGGTGATGTTTATCTTGAAGGAAAAGGAAGTGGAGTTCGAGCACATTGATGTTGACTTTTTCAAAAAAGAGCATAAATCCCCCGAATATACAGAGAAACAACCCTTCGGACAGGTCCCTTGCATTGTGAGTTACAATCAAGTCGTAATTGGTGTCTAGCTAATGGGCTCCAGGACGACGATGGCTTTATTCTTCATGAATGCCGCGCGATCTGTCAATACATTGCGGCCAAATATGCCCACCAGGGAACGCCAAACCTCATTCCACCTGCGGACGATATCAAGGCTATGGCTCTATTTCAACAGGCCGTGTCAATAGAAACCCACAATTTCCACAGGTATACGAACGTGATTACGAGGGAAAGAATCATCAAGCCGTGAGTCGCACTTTTTGGAATGCTACATTCGAGGGGTTTAGATTAAATGGATCGATATTGTTTCAGGTTCTACTACAAGTTGGAATATGACCAAACTATCGTCGATCAAGCACTCAAAGAAATTGATGATAAGATGGTGGTGTATGACAAGATTCTTTCGAAACAACGATACCTCGCAGGAGATGTACGTTTCCCCACCTCTTCCTCCGTTTGTTCGAACTGGCTCACCATTCCACTATTGCAGACTCTCACACTCGCCGACTTGTTCCATGTATCGTTTGGAACCACTATGATTCGTTGCGGGTGGCAATCTTACCAAAAGCATCCCAATGTAGCTCGGTATGTTCCAAGCTCATCTGTGAACGTTCGGGCAGTGACTATGTAGGATTATTCTGACGTCTTATTTGACAGTTGGTGGAACGAAATATCTTCGCGGCCAACCTGGAAAGAAGTTCACGAGCAGTTCAAGCATCTTTATGACAGTATTTTCTGATACCCGTTCTTTAACTGACAACTTATCCTTTGGCGCTCAGACTCTTGTGTATAATAGAATAAGCGAAGGGCGTGAAACCGGAACTGAGTCGGTAATAAGACTCTCAAGTACGAGGCATGGAACCGTAAACAAATTTTATTGCGATTGTATTCATCAGAATATCGTCGAGCCACTATATGCTATGCTTCACAGCAATTCAGAGTAGCATTCCAAAAGCCTATGAAGCAGCGATTGTGAAGGAAGAGATAGTGACGCTTCCACCTAATGCAGTTGTCGCATAGTTGAAGATACCAAACCTGTATCCCAAGAAGAAGTGCCAATCAGTGTTCATCGTGAAGGCACCACCAACACGAGTGAACGAGCTGCCGTTAGTGCTGTAACTGAACGTGGCCTGCTTAGAACCGCCGCTACCGGGACGAATATCCGCAGCAATCCTGAGGTAGATGCGACCAGTGGCAGGGATGGAACCTCCAGCGGCAGCTTCGGAGCCGGTGTTGGTGGTAACCCAGTCGGTGTTCATGTCGATTCCAGTAATTTGAACAACGCGAGCACCACCGTTGTCCTTCTTGATGCCGATCCAGGCAGACTTGTCGCGGAGGAGAACAAGCCCTGAACGATCACCGTCCTTCATGCCGGAGTAATCGAGAACGATGGTGGCAGTCGACTGAGGTCCGACGATACGACGAGTGAGGGTGTTACGAGCGTTGTACAAATCGAAGGTGACGGTAGCGGTTTGGAGTTTTAGGCCACTCCCAACGGAGAATTTGGTCGTGTCTGGGTTGTGGTTCCATTCCCATTCGTGACCAAGGCTGGATCCAGTGAATGAATCGGTGCCAAAGGGAGACTTGACGGGATGTGGGGTGAGAGGATAATTGTAGCTGTTGGCGAATTGCCCATTGACGAGGCTGGCCACAGGGAAACCATCTGATCCCCAAGTGAAAGGAATCATGGCTGGGATACGACCTCCTGGGTAAGCATCGACGAAGCTAACATAGTACCATCTACCATCGGGGGTGTCCACAATACCTCCCTGATGAGGACCTGCAGCGCCAGCAACGGGGTAGCCCACGTCGCGGACGAATTTCTTGATGGTGTAAGGTCCCCAAGGCGTGCCGGAGCTCGACTTGAGAATGTATTCTCCTCCTGGAGTTGGTTGGGTGACAGCAATGTAGTAGTTGTTGTTGATTCGGTACATGCGAGATCCCTCAATGTAGCCAATGTCAGAGGGGGAGGTATAAACGGCTTGGGCCTTCACTTGAGAGAACCCATCCGAGGAGAGCTGAGCAACGTTGATGGTAGAGCTACCATACGCGACGTAGAGCGTGTCGGTAGTGTCGTCGATAAGGAGGCCAGCATCGTAGTAGCAGGTGTTGAGGGGTCCGTGACGTGTCCAAGGACCACTGGGGCTGGGAGAGGTGTAGACCCAGCTCTTGGAGAATTCGATACAGCCAATCCAATAGTATAAACCGTTGGATTTGCGGTAACGTATACTGGAAGCCCAGATACCCTTCACGTAGGCACGCGCGCCGTTGGTAAGGCTGTATTTGCTGTCCCAGTCAAGGACAGGAACTGGAGAATAGAACATATTGAGATTGCGACGTCACGACGAGTATGAAGCAAAAAATTCACCTGAGTGGCCCACGTACTCCCAGTTAACCAGGTCGTACGAGCGAAGGATGGGAGCACCCGGAGAGTAATGCATCGTTGAGGCGGAGTAGTAGAACGCATCTCCGACACGGAAGACATCTGAATCAGCTAGATCCTCCCAGATAATCGGGTTATTGAATATTTGTGTGGTCGCGGATGGAGCAGAGGTTGCTGTTAATGTGGAACTCTGAGCGGGTGTCGTGCCAGCTGATCCAGCAACACACTGTAACCTGGGTGAGCGCGCGAATCAGATCTTTACTGAAGACAAACATACCTGAGAGTAATAGTCGTTAGAGTACGTGCAGGTATAGCCAGAGACGCATGTTGTTGCACCTGTCCATCCCTGCCCACCGCACTGTCCTGGGTTGAACTGTTAGACAAATCTCTTTCCTGGTAATAAAAATTGATAATCACCGTAAGCTGACGATTGCCCTTTGGCAAAAATAAACAAGGAGCTTAACAGCAAACCCCTAGTAGTAATATGCATCGCAGAAGAGTTGTGGTGCACCTCTTGCTAACGTGATGCTTTTATACCTATGTATGAGCCATGGTGTCGCAAAATGTTCGGATTCTAAGTCTCTCCAAAGAAGCGTCAATTCTAAGTATAGCGACAGTCTTTGCTACCCAAAGTCCGGGAAGAATCATATTTCCTGACACTTAGGAGAGAGCACAAGTTCAAAGAGACGGTTGCAGTCGTAAAATGAGCGGAGTCTGGTCACAGGAATCGAGTGGGAGTATGTACCCAGTACGTAGCATTTCTCCAGGAACGAAGCCTTCCACGCGACAATGACCAAATCTTAGCCAGCAGGACAGAAACGAAGCTAAAGAAATCCAGCAGAGTGTGGCCTCATGAGATACTTCTCATTGAATATAGCGTCAGGCGACGCCTCAGCTAAATGGTGGTGGTGGTGGTCAGGACGATGAACTATTGTCGTTGCGTGTTGGGTGAAGGTGTTTAGGCTGACCGGTCTAATACAAACATCAACAAGCAAAATAGCCCCTGTACATGTCAGCAAGACAACTCCACTATGTTGGCCTTAGAAGAATCGCCGACTTTGCGAAGGAAAGACATAAAACCAGTCGCTTGGGGTCAGACCCTAAGATGCTGAACGACCACGTCAGAGTGCTTGTAGACTGGAATGCAGCTCAATGCACCCGTACTTGCGTACATATGGTAGTTCTGTCATGACAGAATAAAACTCTCATCCATTTCTATACATAGCTGTGGTAGTAAGGCTGACAATTATAGCAACCTATACGCACTAACCAAAGGTGGCCATTTCGGGCCGCGTTCCCCTCCACGAGAATGCCATATTATTGTAAGGTTCTCCAAAACCCGGCTTTCTGCCGACGAGGTGCTTGTACGGACGATCCAATCAGCGAACCCTCGAGTGTATGTGCTATAAATAGCGCTTCAAGTTGGAACGAGCGCTCATAACCTCCCTGCAGCCTTTCCTCTCAGAAGGTGAGCAAAAATATTTGACGAGAGTGAGATTCGAACCCACGTCCCGAAAGACCAGATGTTTCGAACACGTTTGGACACACTGAATGTCCTGGTCTCCTTAGTCTGGCGCCTTAGACCGCTCGGCCATCTCGCCATACGCAATACGCATTCGCCACCTCTCGCATTGTGCTGGGGAATTAAAGCGTAGTTGTGGTGACGATTCGGTGCCTTATTAGACGGGTCATCGCATACGCCATGAGATAGAACTTGACGCTTGGTTTAATGTGATTGCGGCCTCTGAGAGTCTGCGACCAACTCGTAGATGATCCCATGCATGTTTGACCTATAACCAGCCTTGAAAGGGTTGAGAAATTTCTAGACATCCCGGTCCCTGCGACGAGTCGACGAGAAGTAAGAATACCGCGCTTAACCTAATTAAGGCGTATAAACTGCATTTCTGACTTATCATCATACAACCCTCCTACCTTTCTTGTATTTGTCCCTAGTTGGACCCTAAGCTGAGCAAAAGCAGACAGGACGTTGACAGATCCAACTGAACGAAATATAAGTGCTGGTTAGCAAAAAGGATTCCGAATCTCCTCAGAATAATACAGCATAGGTTCGCTTCACTCCCTAAATACATTGCACGACATTGCTCAGTGGTGGCATTTCTTTATCTTGTTTCTTCTGTAGGCCAAGAACTATTCATCATCTTAACCAACTCTCTCTAATCCTGCAAGGCCGCATTCGAATTCTCTGTTTATAAACTTTGAGATTTACTCCAAAGATCAAGCGAGGATACCGGAATACGCTGCAAATGCAGGGGCTTTCATGGCTACGAAGGCCATCGGTGAGTCAGCTTACTTTTAACTTTAGACTCGTATCTCTTTCCAGTGTCCTTGAAAAGTACAAAAGCACATCAACGAGCTCTAAAGCTACTCAGTCATCCCACCGAGACCGAATACATGTCAGAACTCGAAGGCGCCCAGCAATCGAAAGATGCAAGGAGAAGATTGACAGATCTCACTGCGACAGAACACACACTGCAGAGCTCAACGTTGACCTTCCAAGGTCGACATAAGTGGTCACTCTGGCAGCATCTTCATACCCACCCCACCTCAACACACGCAGCAACGCAAGCACTTCGGTCAGTTAGATAAGGATGGGATTATCGCCTTTACGGCAGTTTCTTTGCAAGTACGGACTCCGAAGGACAAGCAAATTATTTCCTTGAGGCATTTTCCCGCGGTATTGCGGGGGCAGACGACTGTTCTGATCCTGAGCCAAAGTGCGCAGGGCCATATATAAATTTGTCCCAAAGGATTTTGAAGAAGGTACCAACGGAGGGTTCAACAAGGAGCTGGCCGGGAAGTCAGAGGCATTCGGGGGATCCCAGGAAGCAACCGAGTAATCGTGGTAAAGCTGGCGGAAGAGGTGGTCCTAGGGCAAGAATGTGTCGAAGTGTGCATGGCCCTCGTCGTGCATCACATCGTCGCTAATAGTTCGAGATTTTGGTTTGTATTAGTAGCATATCGTCCATCAGAACCTCCCAGGCGTGTCCATATGCAAATTCAGAATCAAGCGCAACGGCATTTAAGGGTTATTCAATCTGAGCAAAATATACAACCACGTCCCACAAAATGTAAACTGTTCGAACTTGAATGATACACGAATTTCGAACACGCAGAACCAAATTGTGGGAAATGGAATGGCGATGAAGGACTAATTTGCATCCTTGGTTGTGGTAGCCTAATACTTGCAGGGGCACTCGCCCTCGGCGCAACCACATCTAAACGCAGAGACATTCAGCTTGCGTATGTGAATCAGACAGTGAACGGTTACATACCCCGGGCAAGGGTCAACGGGGGCGGCGTTGTCGACTTGGGAGGTCATCTTGTTGCTTAGGTGTCTGGGAAAATTGAGGTCAGGATGATGGTCTCATCGAGCCTTCGAGGAGAGGAACACTCACATGTTATACGAGAATAAAGAGGTTTCAGAGATGGTTGTGCTCGTACGATGGCGGATTGGTAGGATTTCAAACATTTCGAGACAATCTATATACTTAACGATTATTGACGATTATTTATTTCAGAGGGGACAAGCGGCTATTTTTGGGGTTGAGGCATTTCAGCTCCACCAATAAAAGTGTCTCGTGCCTCGAGGCTGTCAATGCGCCCTGTGAATGCCTGTCAATGTCAGCCTTGACGTAGTTGACGGTCGTATTTGGAAGGCAGATAATACCTGTTCTATTTTTATTGGCGGAGCTGAAATGCCTCATCCAAGGTACGACGCCCTTGCTCTCGCGCGCTAGAACGTATGTGTTGCTTTAAACGGGAGTTGGCCATATTTTAATCATATCTTTTGTCTCGAGGTAGGGATTTTATCTCCTTCAGTTGGCTCTACCGGGGTGAAAACCCAAAGAACATAGGTGGGAAAGGAGGGTGAACATGTGAACATGATTATGATGCCTCATAGATAAGGTCTTGCGGGATCTGCCAAACCTCCCGAAGGCAGGCATTCAACAGCATGTTCTAATTTAATTTCTAAATCCTTTCTGGCTTATCGAGTGGGGTGGGGAGGTATTTCAGCTCCCACTGGCGCACCAATCATAGATGTAGATGATATCCAATTCACTGCAAAATGGATTACAGACTTCGAATTCTGGCACAGTTATGAGACCGTTTGACAAAAAGAACCGACAGAGTCCCATTGGTGGAGCTGAAATCGCTCATTTCCCAAAAGCAGGTGGTTTGTACAAATAACAACCAACACTTTTCGTGTATATAGGGGCATCGAAATTTCGTTCGAGACTTCAGTAACAACAACTCAAACATCGCTCGACTATCCAATCTACTTTCTTATCAACATGCCCTCTGTATGTGCACTGCGCCGTTTTATCGTGCTTACAATATGTGATACTAACCCGCTATGTTCCGTCTCTGAATCCAGGATGTCCCCGTCTCCCAAGCTTGCCAGACCTGCGGCAAGCCCACCTGCACCTGCACCAGGTACGACAGCTATCTTCTGTACATGTTAAACCCTATTCTGATTATTTCGTCGGTCAGCTGCTCTGATGGACAATGCAAGTGCTGCAACTAGACGCACACCTAAGATATTATCCTTCCAAGTCCCTCTCGTGATTTCGTAGTTCTACTTGGAAATTGTTCAATCGTCGTCCGATCATGTAAATGTATTTTGTTGTGATTTAACCATGAGATATTGAGATTCCCCGAATGAGGTTCTCGATGAGTTTAAACGACGCGCTGATCCAAGATCCACGACCCTTCAGTATGATAAATGACGGCGGAAAGCACTGTGAGCCACATCCTGGGTGATGAACCTCACAGTAGCATCCTCCTGCACATAGACGCTCATCAGTAAGTACGTTGGAGACGTTGGGTCTGTCTAGCACGTAGAGAGAGTGAGGGAATGAGTTGAGATGTGCGACCCTGATGGTCCCTGTTGTGTAGTGTACAGCATCGTTGATGTCTAGTCTAAATCCCTTGCTTCCTCGTCGTGCTCTCTCCGCTCTCTTTCTCCTACTCTATCCTAGCTTGCCGTCATCCTTGTACTGTTCTTCCTCTCTCCGAGCTCACGTGCACTTTGCACTACCACAACGTGCATCAGGCGATATGATTAAAGGCGCAAGACTTGGGAGAGCAGGACATCTACCCGTCCAACAGTGTTCGAAATATCTTGTCTTTGGGGGTGTGGGTTCGAATTCCACTTTCGTCAAATACTTTTTTTGATTCATTGTGGGACTGTGAACAACGCAAGCAACACCCCAATTCGAGTCCGATTATGTCGACCGTGAAGTCTAGTGCCAACTTTGACAGATTCCATGTCTTATCTATCGCCTACTTGTAGTGCAATGCCCTCCGAAGTGTCCCCGACACGTTATAAGATTGCTCACGCAATACACATGGTGTTACTTTTGACACAGGCGCGCGCCCACAAATGCCTTATTGTACTCTGGTTAGATCACCGTACATACAGAAAAATCTTTTTATCTCTCGAAGTGGGAATCCCGCTGTAAGCCTGTATGTAGGGTCGGAATGTATCGCCTACTTGCAACCGACTGACCCAACCTACCGCTTCCGTCGATGTCGATGTCATAGCACAGCACTTGTGCTCTCCCTATGCCCACGGCGCAACACATTGGATGTCCCCAAACAATAAGCAGTCACATCATTTGTCGCATACATGCTTCTCATCAGAAAAAAGCTTTTTACATAGGCAAATTGAAACCGCTACACGAAACTCGAGCTATATACCCGACATTGTGGGAAAGACGCTTGACTGGGGCTGTGAGGTCCACCCGCCACCGCCACTTCTGAAAACCTTTCTGGGTCATTGTGGGTGGCCGGCATAGATGGGTCATGACGATGGGCGATGATATCAATAACTTATAAAAGCCAGTTGTGTTGAGTCTTTTCAAACTAGGTCCCTCAGCTTCATTTCGTTGATCACTCTCCTTCTGTCTGCTTCCACACCCCAAGCTCCTCATTCCTCCTCCCGCTCTTTTTCCATGTTCATGTATCCGATTTTCATGTATTACCTTTATGAGTTGAGGACCTTACCAACCCTCAATTGGGGTGTTGGTATATTCCTCGATATCATGAATGGTCTCTCCGCCAACTCTGTGTTATGGGCGCATGTTTTCTTCACGACTGTTTCTCCAGTGCTGACATAAAGGCGGGTTGAGACTTTGCCAACCTATCGGCAACACTGGAGTCCCGACTGGGTGGCTGCAAAACTCATGAAGGAGTCATGTCCAACAGATCGCGTTGTATCATCGATCCTCCTTTTTGAAGTAGCGCTCCAGTCAGAATGAATGATCGACGTCTCCCGACCTGACCTGACGGTTTACATATCTGGAATTGGTCTTTCTGTCAGGGCTGCTACCACCCTCGATCTCAATTCTGGCATACATACGCAATACGGGCTGCTCAGTTTCTCGATCCTAGGGTCTTATTGTATATCTTGGTCTCGCTCTGGCTTCTTTTGATTCTGTCCTGGTTTATCGATCTGCTCGACGACGTCACCACTGGTCTTTGCTCTCGCGTGAGTGTACGCGTGAGCATAAGCCGGTGTCCGTTTTCCGTTACCCAGCTCCCCTTTCCTTTCCTCACCTACATGCCCCCTCCCGCTTAC